GTTCTCCCAGTCTGGAGTGCAGTGGCCGCTCCTGGCCACTGCAGCCTCGACCTGCTGGGCTCCGGCGATCCTTCCGCCTCAGCCTTCTGAGTAGCCGGAATTACAGGCATGCGCTACCATGCCCGGCTGATTTTTTGATTTATTGTAGAGATGAGGTCTCGCTGCCCAAGCGGGTCTCAAACCCGCGGGCTCAGGCAATCCACTCACCTCAGCCTCCCAAAGGCGCGGGATGACAGGCTGAGCCACCGAGCCCGGCAACAAATTTTTAAGTATATAATACATTATTGTTAACTATTGGCACCATGTTGTACAGTAGATTTCTAGAACCAATCTGTGTTCTATAACTCCAGCTTTGGATCTCTCCATCCATTTTGCTTATTTTATTGTGAAAATATGGTGTAACCTGTAAACAACATCTTGGAATCAGGTGGCCATTTTTTGTTGCTTACTTATTGTGTAAACATGGGTAAGTTCCTTAATCCTTCTGAACTTCTATTCTTTCCTCTGTAAAATAGGGTAATTACAGTTATTTCTCATACCCCTATTTATAGTCAAGTGAATAAACATGAGACATGTAGTAGAAAGTGAGCCGCAAGCATCAAAATACAATCACCATGCAATCTCACAATTCTGACAAGCTGCTCCTTTAGTTCAAGTTTTGCCAGCTTTTCTGTTTCCACTTTGTGAAAAATGAGTAAATGTTGGGTCATAAATGCTTCCCCTAAGTTTTTTGTGATAATTTCCAAGCTATACTTTTCTTTTTGAAAAAGTCCAACTACCAAAAAATGTAAATGGAACAAATAGTGAAGGCCATAACCCAAGGCACACCATTCTCTATTGTCTTAGACAACGTGTCCTGGAGAGACACCGAAGAGGGCTCCATCTTCATCACAGAGCTCATAACATGCTTCCGGAAATATTCTTGGTGCTGTCATATAGTTGAATTATTTCAGAGGGTAAGATTTCTCTTTCCTCTTTCAGTAATTCTTTCTTTTTTTTTTCCAGGAAGAATTTATCATGATTTACTTTTCAGTTGATAATGACAGTCTTTGTCAGGCAAACAGAAGTAGAGTGGTACCTGGATTCTATCACTCTAGCATTTAAAATCTAGTTTAGAAAATAAAATGTCAATATATCACAGCGGGAGGTCAATGTAAAACAAAATCATATCATCAGGAAACTTGTATGTTCTGGGCTATACGTTATTAAAATTCAGGGAATGGAAAAAGTTTTGAAGGAATTTTCAATACATCATGTATTAAATGAGTCCAGTTGGGTACCCTACCATGAAATGTGTTCTATCCCAATGACAGAAGGGTATATAAGGTATGCATGACATAAGCCTACCTACAGCTCATACTTTTATGGGAGAAATGGATACTAACAGTGTAGGTCAACAAACAAGTGTGTTTGCAATTTGTGATAGGATAAACAAAGTCATATGGAAAATAATAAAAAAGATGTTCTTTGAATGGAATGGTGGAGAAGGGAAGACTTGCTACTCATTCTCCAATTTGGGTCACTTTTTATTTCTGATTCTTCCCCATTTATTTTTCTCCATAGCTCTTAGCATCGCCCACTCAGCACATATTTTATTTACATGTATGCTTTTCACCTGACTTACTCACTAAAATGCAAGCTTTGTGAACACAGGGATTTGCTCAACACCTCAACATGCCTGGCACATAACACAGCTTCATTGACACTCACTGAATAAATAGATGCATGAAAGAATGAATAAACCCTATCCCATATTTTTAGAGAAAAGGAGAGTGGAATAAGAACAGAGAAAAGAGTGTCTAAAATTTAGAATCCGTAGAAATTAGCCATTGTACTTCAAGGTTATTCCTAGAAAGACTAGAAATACCGGATTTAAGGTTAGAAGGATGTTTCCTAAAAATCCATGCAGAAGACTACAGAACTCAGCATGGTGATGAGGATGTGAAATATGTTCAGTGTTCAGGTTTTAAAACAAGATCTTGGGATTTAAGTGTTCATAAACTGAAGAGTCAGTCTTGGTGAGGGTTGAAGCCAGGAAATCCTCTATATCCAATTCTCATGAACAGATCCCAAGAAACAATTGATTGTCAGATATGTAGATCAGAAACGGAAAAGAGAAGAAATGAAGATTGAAATGTCTTGAATTAGGCATGAGGTGTTTATTTTAAGGTAGCAAGTACAGTTTTGCAAGGGTGCCAGTTCTAAGAGGTAGTGTAGTAACTGTCTCAGGGAGTTATAGTATCCATGGTCTTGGTTGGTCCCATCAACCTCAGAAGCACCTTTCATTTCTATTGTCTCATGACTCATGGTGCAAAATGTGTTCTGAGTGTTTTAAAGAGCCATATCTCATTTAGAGACTATTTTTCTCTTTAGGTCCAGCTTTCATTTGATAAACCACGTGATATAATCCAGATGCCCACCATTGAACGAATGTCCATGACAAAATGTTTCTACCTCTTTCCTGGTATCTAAAAACAGTAAGTATTGTTTTTGATGTGTGAAAAAAGTGGGAGCGTAATATTGGCGATGGGACCCAGTGAATACACTGCTGACTACCTATATTGTCAAATTAGTGATCTCTGTTGACTAGCCAAGTGATTAATTGCTATTTTTTATTCTATTTATATGCATTTGAATCCCTTCATCACTACAACCAACCAATCAATCAATCAATCAAGGAATAAAGAAAACCAAGGCAGGATGTAGCAATTATTAAATGGAAATGTACTATGATTTCATTATTACTTATATTAGCTTATCTCTCATATTTTCTCTCTATGCCTCCCCCACCTTCATACACACTGAGGTACAAACATTGCATTAGGCCCTGAACAAAAGGAAACAGTAAAACAAGAATCTGACTATGAGGAAGACAGGACTTTGATGCTCAGGTGCAGATATCACAGTAGATATCACATTGCTGACATTCAGCTACCATCACCAGGCAGTATCAAATACACCCCAGACTATAAATGTTTGTGTTGCTGCAGGCTTTAGTTCCCAGACTCTTCTCAAGGTGTAGATCACAGTTCAGTCTGCTTTCAGGCCTACAATTACTGCTTAGAAACTCCTTCAAGCTCTCATATTAAAACTTTTTAAAAAATGGTCAAAATATAATAGAATATGAGTATGAGTTTAGACATAAAATTATTTTCCTCACTAATAACTACTTTACATAACACCATACTATAAGCCTCTTGTTAATGTACCTATTGGGAATGTAATTAGAATTATATTTTATAGTAAAGTTTATCTAAATACTTCAAATACGTACCCACACCAGCATTCACTCTTGGTTTCGGACAGCCTGATTGCAAATTGCGTAGATATTTCAGCAGAACAACTTCACTGCCTGATTTGTCGAAAAGGACCACATTTGGACATTGAATTGTTGGTCTGACTGATATTTATCAACATTTACCATGTACCAGGTTCTGTTCTAGATGCTTGGAATATACCAGTGAACAAAGTCAGTGGATTCTTTATTCTCATAATGCTTATATTCTAGTTAGCAGAGACTGACTCTGAATATATAAACAGGTAAATGTATCACAGGTTAGAGAATGATAAGTAAGAAGAAAAAATAAATGAGAATAAGGGTAAGCAGAAAGTTATAGGTGCTGTAATGCTGTGGATACATTACTAAGAAAATGCTTCTTTGAAACGAAGAAATAAGAGCAAAAATCGGCAGAATGGGGGAGTGAGTCGTGTGGTCCTCAGGCAGAAAAAGCATCCCAGCACAGAACACAGCAAGTGCAAATCGCCTGGGGCAGAAATGCACTTCAGGTGTTTAAAGAACTGCAATGATACAACGTAACAGAAAGAGCATGAGAGTGGGGAAAATGGCAGAGATAATTTCAGAGAAATGGTGAGAGAAGCCTAGTCTTGGGGCCCTTGGGGATCACATGGTAAACCTTTAAAATATTTCTCCTAGGATAGGAAGCCCATCAAGAGAACTGACCTAATTTAGTTTGACAGATATCACCGTGAGTACTCATGAATAGACTACAGAGATCACAGATGGACGTCAAGGGAAATGGCGCATGGAAGAGGATGGAAGAAGAATCATGATGAGGGCTGGGATGAATGCAGGAAGGGATAACCATCTTGACCTTCTCTTCTCTCTCTCTCCAGCAGGATCCCGCAGGCAGCCCAGCCCTTCTTTATCAACTTCAAAGAGCACCTTCATCCAAACGGCATGCATATTTGTATTTCAATAAAAATGAAGACCAAAAAAAACTGTGTCTTTTTAGAAGCTCTAATAAAGAATATAATTTCAATTCAAATGTTCGGTGAATGTACGTGAAGTTCACGCTACCTAGGTTTTCTAGATTTATGGCTCATATAACATCTAAATGTTGCTGAGTGGAGAGAACAGGTTATGATTTACCTCCAACAGTAGGATAAAAGATGCTTCTTAAAATCACAATGAAGGCAACCCCTTCGGGTCCCCTCCCACTGTGGGAGCTTTTCTGTCCTCTCAATAAATCCTGTTTTCTAAAAATTAAAACTCAAAACACAATGAGATACCTCCTCATATACATTAGAATAGCTACTATCAGAACAAACAAAAACCAAAAATAACGCATTTTGGCAAGGATGTGGAATTATTAGACCTCTGTGCACTATTCTTGGTGGGAGTGTAAAATAGTATAGCAGCCATGAAAAACAGCATGGTAGTTTTTCAAAAAACTAAAAGTTGAATTACCATATAATCCTGAAGTTCCACTTCTGTGTATGTACCTAAAATAATTGAAAACAGTGTCTCAAAGATATATGTGTACACTCATGTTCATACCAACATAGTTCCGAGTATCTAAAATATGGAAACCTCCCAAGTATCAATCAACTGATGAATGGATGAGCAAAATGTGTTATATATAAAATGAAATATTATTTAGTCTTAAAGTTGAAGGAAACTCTGATTATGCTACAAGATGAATGAATTTTGTGAACACTATACTAGGTGAAATAAGTCAGTCACACAAAAACCGATGCTGTGTAATTTCACTTATATGAGATACCTAGAGTGTCAGATTCATAGAGACAAAAAGCAAAATGGTGGTTACCAAAAGCTGGGGAGGAGGAATTATGGAGTTATTTAATGCCTATAGAGTTCAGACTTACAAGATAAAGAGAATTCTGGAAATGAATGGGGTGACTGTTTCTCAATATTATGAATTATTTAATCCCATTGGATGTACACTGACAAATGGTTATAATGGCCAATTGTGTGTTATGAACATTTTACTCACAGAAAAAAAAGTTGAAAAATATAATGGTATGATTGAAGATGAGAAATGATGGAGAAAATTGTATGAATGCAACAATAATCAAATTACATAGTGAAATTTAAGTTCCTAAGCAATGCTGATAAAAGACAAAACGAGGGCTAAGTATATCATTTATTATTTCAAAATTAATCCAGAAAAGAATTGAAAATTACATCATTATCAAAAATTAGGAACAACAGGATAGAGGTGTGGCAGTGTAAGCTTCATTTCATATTTTATATGAGGTAGTCAATGACATATTTTTATTCTATATATTAGGACATAGATAAAAGAGCCATTGCTGAGAATTCCAAAGAACCCTCCAAATAAAACAAAAGAAAAATAATTTAGGACAATTACATCTATTATGCAGGTCTGAAGTCGGAGAGGTTCTACTAGAGAGTATGGTTTTTATTACATGCATTTCTGTACTATTTGTCTAACTGCCTCATGAATGCATTGATGGCACAAAACAATTTAAAATTATGTTGTATCAACAGTTTTAATAGTATGTAGCCTTACAAATATCCGACAGTCCTTAATGTGCTGACTTTTTAAATTATCTACCATATATTGTGTGATTGAAAAAACAAAGTTAATTTTGATAATATAATGCTAGCACTACAAGGAAAAATGTATGGGCAAATATGTTTCTGTCAGTTATCTTTTGCTGAGTATGAAAAAAAAACTCAACAGCTTCACACAATAAGCATTTACTCCTGTTCACTTAGTGACCAATTAGCTAGGTGATTCCTCCTCTTTCTGCTTGGATAATCCACATGTCTGAGATTACCTGTGGGTAGAGTAGGCATTGCTACTCTCAAGGCTGAGATCTCTCATATGTTCAGAAAGCATCTGGCTAGAATGAATTTGGTTAGAAGTCTCTTCCATGCAATGTCACTTACCCGCTAACAATCTAGCTCAGGGTTATCTTCACAGAGGTTCAGGTGTCCAAGAGGCAGAAGGGCATGAGGCTTTGTAAGGGATGAGCACTGCAAAAGCTCCTTCTGTTGCCTAGTGTTGGCCAAAGCCAAGTCACAAGGCCAGTTCAGAGTTGAGGCAACAGGTAAAGATATAAAGAGACCAATGATTATGGCCATTGATAAAATCAGTATTGTGTTAAGTGTTTTATGGAAGCGTAGGGAAAAACATTTACAAAGATACAAGCTAAATATATAATTGTGGTTGTCTTGTTATGTGAATTAAAGAATCTCGATGATTCTTTTCCATTTTGTAAACTTTTCTATTGTGCAATGTCAGTGGCAAACATTTATCTACTTAAAAATAATTGAAGTAAAAGAGTCCCTCATGCATTTAACAAAGATACACACATGAGTATCATGGATATACAATACTCCAGTGGACAAATGAACAGATCTGAAGAGAGACAAGAAAATAGAACACTTATCTGGATTTACAAACTAGTGGTAGGCATATCACTATTCGGCAGTCCTCAGTCAGTCACTCTCCCCTCACCTTCAAATTCACACTTCTGGAGTGGAGCAGGCACCATTGAAATGAGGACTCTCTGCCACTCCTTGGCTGGTCACGGCACAGAGACAAATAAGGGTTTCATCTGATGTATTAGCAGTGCTAAAAATACACCAGAAGACAGACTGCAGAGACTTGTGTCTGTGTGTGAATGACCCATGATTTCATTGTGATAACTTTACTCTATCAAAACAAAACACATGTTTTGCTTCCTGCTTTCCAGAGGAAGTAAGTTACATGTTCCAACTCGAGTCTCATTCAAATTTGGCAAAAAAAAAAAAAAAAGGAGAGACTTTGAGAAGGTGGGGTTTTCCATTTTGGGCTGCATCGACACACTGATCCACTAAGAGAAACGTCAGGCTATCAGATCTGCTTTCACTTTCATATCTTTTTCTGCCCAGGGAGCCGGGGAGCAGTCATGGCTGGTGAGTGGCTTCTGTTTCTCATGGCTTTACTTTAAGGGAGTTTCATTTCAAAGGGAAAAATAAGAGGCATGGGGGAAGTTCTTATAAGACACATTTATCTTGCTCTGGAGACAGAGGGAGAAATGGGAGCTTGGGGACACAGCATTGAATATGCCAACAAAGTATTTTAGTTATATAACAGCTTCTCAAATGGGAGAAAAATATCAAAGATCTGGACTTACATTCTTAAACATTTCCTGCCATCTTAGATGTTTCTTTTGACTCATACTGACCTGAAATTCACATTAACTTTGTAAGTGTTCTAATATGAGAGTGAGAAACCATGTAGTTGAACAGAGTAATTTGCATTTCCTCCATATTTATCCCGTCTGTATGACTTTTAGTTTAGAGCAGCTAATGAATCCACCATGATTTGTGCTCTAGGTCTCAGTATATCAAGTTTCTCTGCCAGCCCTGAAAATATAAACAAAAATGGTATTATTTTACAGGTGAATATATTTATGTTTTACTGCTGCGCGTGTTAAATATATTGATTTTTTAAACTAGTTACTGAGAAACATGACAGGAAGTGAAAAGTTCATGGGTGATACAAAGACTAGATTGAGTTATCTATCCTAAGTTCCTTAGTGAAATCATTTCACTTCTCTGAACCTATTTCTCTATCTATGAAATAAATGGGAGATAAAAGGCTGAACAAGATAGGAGTTACTCTAAGTAAATGTGGTTCTGGGAGAGAGACTTTGGCATCACCTGAGAGATTGCAAGAAATGAAAATTCACGAACTCCATTCTGACCTACCAAATCAGAACTTCGGGGCCTGAGATGCAGGAAGTGCTGCTTATCAAGCTTTCCGGGTGATGCTTATGCACATTAAAATGTGAGAACCACAACCCTAGAATGGTATATGTAAGGTTCTATTCATATCTAAGATTCCATCATTCTCACAGATAAGAAATCATCTAAAGAAGATCAAATCAAGATGGTGAAGTCAATTGCCAAGAACATTGTCAATGATGTTTTGGATGACTTGACGGAAAGTAACGTGTTAAATAGAGACAACTTGCGCAGTTTAGGGGAAGGCGTGAGCTGCGTTGTGAACAACGCTGAAAATCTGTTAGAGAATATCACTGAGAAAACTCAAATAGCAGGAAAAATACTTATGAACCACCTCTTCAGTTACAAAAACCAGCTGAGTTTAAGTGAGTATTGTGGGTCAAAGGGATAGTAACTCATTTTTTCTCTACTATCCTTATGCAGTTTCTGTCTTCTTTATTTTTCCTTTTTCCAAGTACAGAATAAACTCTTCCCATCTCTAGGGCCTTCATTTTTTGGCTGTCTATTCATTTGATATCATTTGATATCCTGGTCTATTCCAATTACTATTACACAGTAGTGTATTTTTCCTTTAGCAATGATCACCCCCAATCACTCCATTGATTCATTTATTTATTATGTTAATATATCCCCCTCTGCTGAGATGTAAGCTATGAGGAAAGAATCTTTCTCTGCTTTGTTCATGAATATATTCCAAATGCATAGATATGATATATAACATATAATAGATTTTTGGTAAATATTTGTTATTGGTGCCTTATTAAATTCAGGGAAGCTTTCAGCTAGTCTGGGCTCTGGTTGCACAATGTGGACTCTAGAGTTATTCCCATAGGAAAACATTTAGAATCTTCTGCTTAGCTGTGGCTTAGCCCCAGAAAAGAAATGTCTGGAAATCAAGATTTCTGTTAAAGGAAGGCACAGGAAATTTTAGGGTTAGTGGGTTGCAGATGTTTCTTTCTCTCTGGAGCACGGATTGGCACACATTCTTTGTGAGATAGTAAATATTTTAAGCTTTGTTCATCATACGTGGGGGGACTCAAAAATCCAGAATTTATTTACTAAAAAAAAAAAAAAAAGGGATAGGTATTTTTACAAGTTTAAACTTTAGTCACCTTCAAAGTACTCTCCCTTTGATGTAATACATCTATCAAAATGCTTTTTCCACTGCTTTTTCCAGTTTTTGAACTTGTAGATTTTGATGTCTTTTAGTGCTTCTGCCTTTTTTTGTTTTACGCCTTTCACATTGGAAACATATTTTCCTTTGAGGACATTTTTTCATATGGAGAAACAAACAAACAAATGTTCCTTGGGGCAACAACTCAGGATGTTTCTTTGGCAAGTCATGAGGCAACGTTCTCAAAACTTCCAGATAAAAAATAATGGACTCCTAGAACAATTAACTAGCAGGGGAAGCCTGTACTACAAGGATCCCACCCTCCAAAATATATAACTGGGTTTTTTGGGGTCTCCCTCGTATGGTCTCTGTCATGACTCAAATCTTCTATTGTGGCATGAAAGCAGCAACAGACAATAAGTACACAGTGAGAGTTCATGTGTCCCAATAACATTTTGTGTATAAAAATGGACTGAGTTCAACCTGCTGACCATAGTTTACTGTCTCCTACTCTAGGCTTTCATCTATAAATAAGTCAATTTCCAATTATTAAAACATCCCCTGGGATTATTTTTGTTATAGAAAGACTAACTTTTATACATAGGTGTACTTTCTTTCCTCGGAATGAAAAGTGCTTTTGCAGAAAAATCTTGATTAAAGATTTTAAAAAATTATCCTTTGAATTACGTAAGCAGCAAGAAAATGAGCTTTTCTTTGTTTTGTGGAAACTCTGCCTCCTTGTGTGCTTGGCAGAAGGATATAGTCCTCTAAAACAAACTTGAAGCTTAGAGAATGGGCCAAACTCCCATGCTTCATAGAGTAGCCCCATACTCGCGTGGTCTCTTACTTATCAGTGCAGGGGAAAGAGTTTGAGGTATGTAGGTACTAGAAACACAGTTCTGCTAACAAATCAGTTTTTCATATTATTCCAGAACTTCTTTCTGAAAGTGAGGATAATGAATCTGAGAAAAATTCTGCATCATCTTCCTCTTCAACAGGTAACTACCACCAACCCCCAGATCCCAAATGAAAACTCTTAGACCTCTGTTGTTGTGAGAAGGTATCCCAGTAAAGGCCTTGGAAACCTATGTTCTTAGTCAGTTTTTATCTGTGAAAATGACCTTCAGGATAGAACACTGATCCTTAACCTTTTGTTTATTCCACCACAGAATCTGAAGAAGAGGATGAAGAAAGCAGTGATAAAGAAGAAGCTGGATCAGCTCAGGCAGTGGCTGTCTCTCCAACAGGTAAATTGACACTCCACCAAGTCGTCCTCAGGAGCCTTAAACATCATTTGGAGTGAAAGCAACCCTACAGGGGGTCCTATATTATGAAGGAACAAGAATGACCACTGTCTTGAGCTTCATACAACAGGGCTTATCTCTGACTTCTGTCTGTAACAGATTTCCTCAAAGACAAAAATAGCTCTTACAACTCTACTCTTCAATTCTCCTCAGGATCCAGAAATGAAAGCAGAGATGAAGACACTGAGCTGAATGTTCAATTGGCCCAAGTATCAGTTCTAACACTGATAGGTATGTCTTTTCATGAACATTATTTGAGCTAAGTCAGATTTTAAAAGACCCCATATAGTAGTAAAAACAGGACTGGAATAAAGGCTGAAAAAATTACATAGTATACTGAGCCCATCAATGCCATTGACATGTGCTTTGGTATAAATATTCCCACCTTCCTGAAACCCATTTTTTTTTTTTTTTTGAGTTGGAGTCTCACTCTGTCGCCCAGACTACAGTGCAGTGGCCGCTCCCGGCCACCGCAGCCTCGACCTGCTGGGCTCCGGCGATCCTTCCGCCTCGCCTCTGCCTTCCGAGTAGCCGGAATTACAGGCATGAGCTACCACGCTTCAGCTGATGTTTTGATTTATTGTAGAGATGAGGTCTCGCTGCCCGGGCGGGTCTCGAACCTGCAGGCTCAGGCAATCCACTCACCTCCGCCTCCCAAAGGTGCGGGATTACAGGCTGAGCCACCGAGCCCGGCTGAAACTCATATTTTAAAATGAGATTAATGACATCTAGAAGAATGCATAAAACTATGAATATACAAGAAACTACCCACCTCACAAAAGAAAATGGTTAAGAAAAACATATATTTCTAGTGTCTAGAAAGGGGAGTAGTCACAGTGTTGTCTTCTGAGTACCACATTTTTAAAAGTTCTGAACGAGCTTAGAAAGAAATGAAGACCTTGTGATTTATTTTTCATGGCTATATTGTTCAGAATGTGTTACTTGAAAATCTAGTAGAGTATGCTGTTCTCACATCGCTTGTGTAGCAGGAAGCAAGATTCTGCTCTCATAGAGTTTCACGTGTAGCAAGGGCAGATATATACTAAACATGTAAAAATGAATAGTCTAGTTTCAGAGAACGTATAAGAGGAAAGAGGATTAGGCTACAGAATGAAGGGTCGTGTGTGGTGGGCGAGGGATGGCAAGAAAAGGTGGCAAGCTGGGTGATTAGTCATGAACTCTCCACTGAGGTAGTATTTCAGCACATACGTGAACTATGAGAAGGGAGCTATAGGGAAGGTGGTTTCTAAATCCAAAGCATTTCCTAGAGAGGGGAAACAGCAACAAGGACCTTGAGAGAAATATTGGTCTTTTTTTTTTTTTTTTTTTGAGTTGGAGTCTCACTCGGTCACCCAGACTGGAGTGCAGTGGCCGCTCTTGGCCACCGCAGCCTCGACCTGCTGGGCTCTGGCGATCCTTCCTCCTCAGCCTTCCGAGTAGCCGGAATTACAGGCATGTGCTACCATGCCCAGCTGATTTTTGATTTATTGTAGAGATGAGGTCTCGCCTGCCCAGGCGGGTCTCGAACCCGCGGCTCAGGCAATCCACTCACCTCAGCCTCCCAAAGGCGCGGGATGACAGGCTGAGCCACCGAGCCCGGCTGAAATATTGGTCTTGATGTATAAGAGGGTTTAGTTCATCTGAATGGAGAGTAGGGATGTAGGGAGAGTGTAAAAGCAGCTGTTGAAAAGTCAAACTGGAGCCGGGCTCGGTGACTCAGCCTGTCATCCCGCGCCTCTGGGAGGCTGAGGTGAGTGGATTGCCTGAGCCCGTGGGTTCGAGACCT